CGGGGGCGCGCGAGGGCGGGCAGAGCGCGGGAGGGACCTGGAGCGGCCGTCGCTGGCCTTCGTCCCCCGCTCTGATGGTCAAGGCCGGGGTCGTTCTCAGAAGAAGGGCGCCAGCGGACCTGTCGGGGCAAAAATAACCCAAACCCTTAGACAGGGGAATGGGAGAAGGGAGACCGGGAGCAGGTGCCTGAGGCTCGGGCTCTGCCCTCGAAGGCCACCTTCTTGGTCCCGCGCACAGCTACCCCTCTGCCCGATTTGGCACAACAGGTTCGGAGAAACGCCTGGGCGCACCCGGCGACGCATCCCTGAAGGTCCCTGGGCGGCGGCGAGGTGAGGGCCCCGCGATTTGCAGGTCCTCGTCCGGGGTAGGAGAGACCATCTCGAGGGCGTCAATGCCACCCCCGCCCATTCAGTCAAAGGCAGGAGAAGCCTTTAAGACGCAGGCAAAGAAAGAAAAAAAAAAATCCACGAAATGCTTGCTGTCACCTTCGTTTCATTTTCTTGAAGGCAACACCAAAAAACCCCCTTCCTTTCCCTGCTCACTGCTATTCTCTAATTTTCCGTCCTGTAAATGTCTGGAAAGTCCATTTAAGCCCCCTTATTAAAGATTTTTTTGGTCTATTTTCTACCCAAACAACAAGCCCCATGATCCTCCTTAGGGTATATCAGATGAGTAAAGGGAAAAAAGGAGAAAGAGAAAGAGACACACAGAGAGAGAGAGACTGACTCTGAACCCAAACACCCACTTCCAATTTCCCCGCGGCCACTGGCGCGTCCCCATGGAGAAATCCTTCGGATTCCTCTCTCAGGCAAAGGACAAGAAGACGACACCATCTCGAGCCTTGCTTATTTTCCAGCTCTCGTCCTAGACCCCGGGGGTCTTGTCTTTCCTGGCTGGGAGGCAGCCTTTGTAGGTTTCTGCTAACTTACACGCCCCTTTGCACTTTTACCCCGTCGCCTCTCCTCCTCCTGGTAAACCAGACGGGTCATTCCAATGCTCAGCCAGGAAACAAAAAGCGAAGAAGCCTCCCCTCACCGCCCGCAGCCTCCGGTCAACTCGTCCAATAATCTTTCTAAGAAAGGAGAACTTGTTTCTTGGTAAATATCCTCTGTCCCCGGCCCCAATACTAAATGATACATTCTCATCCTCTCTCTCCTCTCTCCTCTCCTCTCCTCGCCTCTTTTCTCTCTCTCTCTCTCTCTCTCTCTCCCCTCTCTCTCTCTCTCTGTCTTCCGCCCCCCCCCCCCATACAGACTAGCCACAGTCCTCATTAGAATACAGGTGTAGGGTTAAGGCAATTAACACGCGGACACAGGGGGGCAGGGTCGGGGCTGGTTACCTGGAACGTCCATGACGGGCGAGCACCGCCGTCCGCGAAGTTGCTCTGCTTAGAGAAAATGAGGCGAGCGGGAGCTGTCGGGAGGAGGACACGGAGCGCGACCCTTCTCCCCGCGCGTGGCCAATAACCGAGCCGCCCCGCCCCACCGCTCTCCCGCGCCGGCCCGCGCCCGCTCTGGGGCTGCACCACGCCCCA